AACACTTAAGGTTTGTAAAACATTGTTTCTTTCATGCCTTTTTTTTCTTTCACTTCTTGCCTGTCTATCATGCAAAATAATTTTCATATTAACATTAAAAATACTTTTATGCATCAGAAAATTTTGAAATTTCACATGCAAAATCTTTATAATGTCCAATTAGTTATCAAACGTTTCTTAAGAAAACTTTATATTTTATCTGTTATTTTCAGTAATTAATCTCTGTATAGGTTTGGTAAATTGGACCAATCTCGCAACCACCATAAAAAATTAGGAAATAAACATAAATTATGCATCTTTCATTCTAGAATGAATGCAAATTATAACACAAAAACATAAATGCTTAGATGAAATAGCTTAAATCTCATAACATTATACATTTATATATATTTATTACTTTATTGTATTGACCTTTCACCCGTGCCTAGCTAACAATACAGAAGTTACAACGAAGTTACTGTATCAAATAACAAAAAGGTTACCTTTGGTCTGTACAAAGTAACTTGTCTTGGCTGTGTTTTAGTGGACCAGTATTTTGTAAAATACAGTCACATTTCAGTTATTATACATTATATATCTATATAGATTATTGCTATTTTGAAACAAGTTCTTAAAGTTATTTTTCCTAAAACATGGAACAGTAAATAAAGAAGTAAAGCAAACAATTATCTCTTCTAGTTACGACCTTTGTACTCGGTTGCTGCTTGATGTAGGTTGCTAAGCCTTTAAAAATTTTTCACATGGAGGACATAAAACAAAATATTTTTTTAGGTTTTATATATACTTTTGAATAACTACAAAATTATAAGTTATTACATCAATACCATAGAATTCTACTATAATTTATCAAGCATAATATCTAAGATGTATTTTAGTCTAAAAAAATATAAAATTTAGAGCAGACTAAAGACACACCATACCTTGTTGAAATATTGGTTCAGAAGAAAGAAATGGTGCCAAGACCATTAAAATGGCTGAGAAAGCCACTAGGGGACATACTGAGCTTCCGATTGGTTATTCTTGTCATGTATAGAAGTAAGTGTATATAAGGGAGTGCTTCTAAAAATGGAAAGAGATGGGCAGGGTGCCACTGTGTTTGATTTATTACATGAGCAATATCTTAGCAAATCAAAAAGATAAGATGCTCTTATTTTATATTCTAGCTTGTCAATATCTGTAGGTTGAGTTTCTAATTTGTATAAAATTATAGACTTAGTATTTTGACTTCACAAACATCTAATTTGATGCACTGCTTCATTCCGTATATCACGTGACACACAAAAATTGATGTTTATCTGTGTTTCTTAATATTTATTTTTAAATTAACAAATTGAGCAATGTATAGTTCTAAAATTTGAATTATAATCTACAGTTTGATACCAAAGTTATTGACATAAATTTATGTAATAGTAGTTTAATAAAATTTTGAATGTGAGTCAACAAATGAGATGACATGGCCTTTCACCTGTGACCCATATGGAAAGGGTTGGTAAGTGCTGGTGCTCAAGATGTTTGAACCAAACTACATCAAAAATTAACTGCCTTAAAACTTTCACTTGCTAGCCTTTGACTTTGTTTCACTTGTAATTGTGCTGTTTTCATAGCTGATTTAATTAAAGGCTTAACAAGTATTATAAATTGAAAAAAGGCAAATGTTATTATTTCATGAAGTTTTTTGAACAACAACTTTTATGATAGAATATTTTGTAAACCTATAAAATGTCTTATGTTCTGTTGTCTCTCAAACACTGAAGGCAGTTCTTCACATGCATCTGTTTGGACACTTGGTAATTGTTAGTCAAGTTCTAGCATCTACTTATATCCAAAATAGTTATGTTTTGTTACACACGTTTCTTGAATAGTAAAATTCAAAACTGAATATATTGTAATAGGTTACTAGTACAATCTCGATATCAATTTGTTAATAATATTATCTCAGTTTAACACTATCTGCCCAGGCATCATTTACTGTGCATATCATGAGGATTTAGTAGCTTACATTCAAAATTTTATTAAACTCATTTTTGTTTATGTTATACCAATTAATATAGCATAAAACCAAAGCTAATTATCCATATTTTAATTGTATATCAAGTTTTAAGCTCTTAATTTTATAAGGCAATATTTTAAAAAATCCTGAATTTCCCCTAGTGTGAGAAAGGTGACAAATTTTCTGTAGGCATCCCATCTACTCTATTTTATTTACCAATAAGTACAAAATTCAACTTAAATTACTTACTATAAAGTTGTCATTGTTCAGACAAACCATAATTTTTATAGCTTTCAATTTTGTTTGGTTACAGAGCCATTAAATAGAAAACCAGACGTATTATATTACATTGTGTTCTGAACAGAAAATTATCAATTTCTCTTTTAGTACAAGCTTTGTTCCATGGAAATGATAATGACTAACTCGGATAATTTGTAATGGCTCTTGTCGCATAATTAGAAAGCCAGAAAAATTGTGATAGTTAGAGGAAATTGCCTGCTTTTTTGCAAGTCAGTATTCTATGTTTTTTGGTGCATTATTTAATTAAATAAAAAAAATTGTATGCATTACTACCATAAGCATAAAAAAGTAGGGTTAAGTGTCATCAACAGTCAACAGCAGAAAAAAAAGACACGGGTAAGTACTTTATTTCTTGTTTTTCATGTTTATTTATTATTATAAAAGTAACTAAAAGGTAAAAATAGGGATCACTTTAGGTTAGCTAAAGTTAGATTAGGTAAAATAAATAATGATATAATAAAAATATTTCATGAGGCATGTACACGAGCAGATCAGAGTAGCTCATGGATAATGTAATTCGACAGCATAACATGAGCTGCACGTTCCTCAAGTGATTTACAACTTATAATGGCACGAATAGTAGTTAAACCCGGTTCAAAGGGCAATAACACAATAAAATTTAATTATAAATAGATGTATACTGTTATGAGTTTAAAGCTACTTAGGATAAACGAATGTAGTTTCATATTACATTTGAAGTCATTCTAGGAAGAAAAAGAGGGTTATTTAGATTTTTTTTATGGGTGGTACGAGGTCAGTCAAATTGACCAACCTTGTATAGAGTTAGACAACCTTGATCAAACAAGCCTCTTAAGATATTGTTTTTGTACTTGTCGTTCAGCAAAACAAAACATTTCATATTATTATTATACCTATGCCTTTTATGTATCTTAACCCTTTCATAAACTATGATACTTATCTCTAGCTATGTATTTTCATTTTCATTGGATTTTGTTTTGTGTATTGTCATTTCAAATCAATGATCATTGATTAGTTATTATTCTTGATCTTCAGGTAACATTTCAGTTCATCTCAACATTCACTACATTGATTCCATTAGTTGACTGTTCAAAGGCTGTACAGTATCATTCAGACTTAACAGAGGTAGGCTACTAAGCTGTGTTTTTTTTTTGTGATTGTAAATGTAATTCAATAATTTTATTAGATTAAAAAAGTAGTTTCATGGAAAGTAGTACTAATACTTTTTATTATTAATACATATCCTTTCAAGATATTTTAGTTAGGATGAATCACTGATTGGTAGAACTTAAAGAAGAATAAACCAATTAGCTTGTAAATAAATATCTTGAAATATGAAAAGTTAAAAACTAGACCAATTGTCATAGAGTGTTAGATGTCAATTAATCTCAGTTATTTTGGTATAATCTTTAATAGGCTAAAAACTCATTTATAACATTTTTAAAGTTTTATTTCACATTTTTATTGAAAATAATGTTGTAAAATTGTTTTTTTTTACAATGTAATGATTTTTAAAGACACTTGTGAGGTAAATTTTGAAACATGCATATTTTGGTTAAATAAATGAGAACAATTTTTGTAATTCTGAACACGTGAATCAATTCATGTATTAGCAGTTCTATCTAAGAACAACCAAAACACAAAAAGTCACTTTACTAGAAATCATTGCTTTTAGCTTGAGCAGGAAATATGCTTAGCAACAGCAGAGTTTGAAGATTTTGTTCTTCAGTTCATGGATAGGTAAGATGGATTTTGTAGATATTAAATGTGGAGCTGAACTATAGTATGTATGAAGGTTTTATCTAAAGAGAATAAAGGTACTTAGTACTCTAAATTTGATATCGGGGAATTATAGAAACAAATATTTGCACATTGTTAAACCTCACTATCTGTTTCAATTACATAAATTTATAAAAATATTTAGAGCACAAACATGCTAAACAAAATGAAATGTTTAACCGTAAGATTATGGGGTTGAACCCATTTGGCTATGTCTTGTATGAAGAATGATACACAGTTCAACAATACTTAAAATAACTCTTGAGCTTTATTAACACAACAATTGGTAAGATTTTGTTAAAGATTACAAGTATTTTCTACAAAAAGAATGAGATTATTTTAATTAAATATTTTAACTAAAGATTTGTTATTTTTTATATTGTAGATATTTGCACTCAGACTCTGAATATTTCTAATATTTATCATCAGTGTATTGTGCAATGAAATGCTTAAAATTAAAAATAGAAAAAATGTACATACCTTTTAATTTTTCATTGAATAATCTTAAAAAATTTTTCTTTTGGTCATGTTACTAATTGTAAGTTTTTAGTTTTACACACATAATTTATTTTCAATGTTTTATTTTTCATTCCTGTCCTTTAGCATTATTACTTATTGTGAAACACATCAGCAGGCATTCTTGGGCAGTATTAGGGTATCATCAACAGAGGCACTTTAGCCTTTGTCAGAATGTTGGGAAATTTGACTACTACACTAAGCCCGATGAACTGAGAGAGTTTGACTTATATTTTTAAAAAATTATTAAACCTTTTTAAAATGCATTTTTAAACATAAATAACACATAATTAATTAAAATATAAAACTAAAACCTAAATATAATTTAATTGTCTAACTAACATACTTATAGTTGAGAAACAAAGCTAAAGGGCTAGCGATGACAGAAGAAGCAACAATGTCAAGAGTGGTTTGACAAGCTCTCTATGGAATTCTTTGCACCAATTTCAAAATAACTATTAGGAGATTTTATTTTAAAATGTGGTCTTTCTATTGGTTATAAACACCTAGCTCAACTAAATATAATTGGCTGAGAAATTGCAACTCTGTGTGTAGAAAGTGGATGTGACATCTGTCAAGAGTTCCAAGAAATTTATTTTATTTTCTTCGAATGTGCTCTTAGGAGCTTTAATGCAGAATCTGTAAACAGAGAAATTAACCTGGATTCTATCTATACATGGAAGATTAGCGTACGTCAAGAAGTATTCCAGTTACAAGGTCCAGAAGTTAAATTTTTTTAACTATTGCATCAAACTAAAGTTTAAGCATTTTTCTTTAAGGTTTCTTTTGAAATAAAGGAATTAAAACTTAGATAATAGAAAACATTGAACTATAATGTAAATTTTAATGCTAATTTCATTGGCATATATTTGCATTTTTAATGTAACAAAGTATAATCTCGTGACATGCGTAGAACAGGTGTACCTGTAACCATAGGGTTAAATGGTGGTTGCTTGTCCATTTTTTGTGATATATAAATGTCAAAATAAGGTTATATGTATTATTGTTACTTTTTTATAACTTAATATTTACTTAGTCAAATACCCCCATCATTGATGATAGTAGTCAATGCACAGGTAATGTTTTGACATTTTATCAAGAAATTTTATAAGAAAATTTATATTGTTAATTTCAAACAGAAATGGTAAATATGCTATGCAGAAATGTTTTGATCACTGTTGTATGCTTTATACGGTGTATTAGGAATAGATCAATTCACAAGAAAAGACACTATATTTACCTGAATTTAAAAATTTGATGAATTGTACTTTACATTTTGTTGTTTTTCTTCAACCAATAATTGTGATATGATATAGGTTTCCTGAGTATAGATCAACTTTTAGATCGAAAATCAGTTGCCAAGTTATGACACTGTTAATACTACTTGTAAAAAAGTTTTAATCATCAGTCTATTTTGTTTACATAGATGCATGTAATTTGATCAAAAATGTTTTATAACCTTAAGGAACGGATACAAGGCATGTAAAAGAAAATAGAGCAGTATGGAAACCCCAGGGCCATTAATATGCAAATACATGCTTCCAGCTTCTAAGGTCTCGCATCACATATGGAAGTTGATTTGACCAGAATAATTACATTTAGAACTTTGATGATAATGATGTGTTTGTGCTAGGCATCCAAAACATGCTCATTGTTGTGTGTAAAATGTTGATGTTTATAAAGAAGAAAGTAAAAAAGTTTTTTTTTTTTATCATGGTGTGGCTAATGAGTCCAACAAACTTTAATCTGAGCAGATGCTCATGCAGTTAGAGGCAGACCGCCAGGGTTTTATCCACAGAACTCACTTGGGACCTTGTTAAGTTTTTTGTGAAAATATATGCATCACTGTGCTCAATGTAGTCAGGGATTTGAGCCCCCACCCCCAAATCTGCTACAACAGGTTCTTAGACGGAAGACACATCATGAGTAATATTAGACATATTAAACATCTATGTGGATGCAGTTGTCATTATATTTAGCTCTGTTTTGCAAGGCTGAGCTTTAATCATGTTTTGAAGAGCCTGTTTGAAAATTTGGAAATATTGTGTCGGGGAATTAGATCTGTTGCACCAAATGATCCAAAAGTTCACCGTATTTCATAATTAAAAAACATTATTAACATTGTCCCAACTATTAGCAACAAAATTAAGTGCTATTGCATTATAGCTGACACGTTCAAATACTAATTTTCACTGTTTTACAAGTCTGACTACGTATTTTCAGTATAATGATTAGAATTGAAATAATAGTAAACCATCTGCTACTCTGATCACTTCAAACTCTCCTTACTTCAAGCCTCCCAGTGGCTCAACGGTATGTCTGCAGACTTACAACACTAGAACCCGGGTTTCGATACCCGTGGTGGGCAGAGCACAGATAGCCCATTGTGTAGCTTTGTGCTTAACTTCAAACAAAAAAAAAACCTTACTACAAAATTGCTTGATCTCGGATAGAGTAGTAATTGGGTCAGTCCATATGTAACTGTTGAATGAAGAAACTGTTCTGAGACAGAGATAGGCAAGGTTTAACTAGGATTATGAAGACCAGTAAATGTCAAACAGTATGTTAAGAAAGGTGCATCTTCAGGATTAGACAGTTGACTAATGGAAATGTGTCATGGTCAGATGAATATTGACACATAGTATTCTGTACAGGTGGAAGAATTTAAATTTGACAATAATCCCATGAAACTTTAAAGCCCTTGTGTATTGTTTCCTCTGTGCAAGTTTCTAGAGGTGGAGTAAGGATGTGGGATGCATTTTTATGGCACAGATTTGATCCTTGATGTCTCTGAATTTACATACCACAAATATCTGAACATCTTTTAGAATCAAAAGCATCATCTATTGCTTCATTTCTATCCTCAAGGTGATGGCATTTTTCAGATGACAATGTCACTATTCACCATGTTTTTATTGTTAATGGTTAGTTTCAAGAGTATGAGAGGGAGTTCCATCATCTTCCCTGATAAACTGAGAATCTGTGGGATGTATTGAGGTATTTGAAGACAATAGTGTTTGAGGAATGGATAAAAACAAAACATTAAGTACTCCAAAAATTAGTATAGTGCATACCATGATGGATTGAGGCTGTGTTTAAAGCATGCTGTTAGAACTTGGTTCTAGATGGTGTATTTCAACTCTGAATAAAATACCATACGTATAATAAAAGTCAAGTTTCTAAGAGTAGTGACAAAAAAAGCAGTATGCTAATATTGTAATATTACTGTCAAGTCAATGTCTTTTTTTTAAAAGATATAGTGAACGAATTGTACACCAGTTATTGGCAGTCCTTAGCATTTTATTTTTCTATCATTTATGGTTTTGCTATCCAACTTCCAGTTACATACACTTTGTTATACATTTTACTTTGCTTAATAATTCAGTTTTAAAATGTTTTCATTATATTTCCACCCAATATGTTTTGTAGTTCTCTGATTACATCGATTTTTTACAGGTGTTTTGCACTGATTGAAAACAGTAGCCTTGAACATCCAGCACGACTTGACAGAGATACTGAGAAAATGAATCTAGAAGAGAATGTTTTGGAAATAGGTTTAACCTCCACATTCAGCAGCATCTTAACACAGTCATCTCCTGAAATCTTTAAGGTAGGTATTACTATAGTTATAATCACATGGGGGTTGATTTTTTGAGGAAATTTAGGTAGATAATGATTATGGATCATGTGGCTGTTTTCACATAAGAAATAAAACAGTTTGGTGACTGAACAGGGAAACACTAGGAATGCTTTGAATATTTTTGTTGTTAAAAACAAAATCTCAAAAAAAAGAAATATCATATTACAACATAAATTTAGATAAATATAAAATAAAAAAAATATTACCAAAAACAATGTTTTAATATCTATAATAACATGTTCATTTTTCAATTGCCCATTGTGTGTGCAATAAAGATATTTAAGGTTCATAAAAACTTTTTAACCTATTAGTGCTATTAGTGCCCAGTTATAAAGCATTTATAAAAAGTAGTATATCAGGGTTTGTGATATAGTATTATGTGCTTACTCCAGCAGTGTCCATAAGTCATTTACAGTAATTAGTGTATTGTGGTTTATGGTACATGTAACATGTTAACTCCAACAATGTCTATAAGTCTTTCACATGAACTAGTGTATTGGAGTTTATGGTGCATGTAACATGTTTATTTCAGCATTGTCCATAAGTAAATTACAGTTGGTAATGTATTGAAGTTAGGTCATGGTACGTGTAATATGTTTACTCTAGCAGTGACAAAGAGTTATTTAGTGTCAGTATTGTATTGTAGTACATGGTACATGTTTACTCGAACTGTCTCCATAAGTGATTTAGTGTGAGTAGTGTATTGTAGTTTGAGGTTCATGTAACATGTTTACTCCAGCAGAGTCCATAAATCATATACAGTAAGCAGTGTAACTAGTGTATTGTAGTTTGAGGTTCATGTAACATGTTTACTCCAGCAGAGTCCATAAGTCATATACAGTAAGTAGTGTAACTAGTGTATTGCAGTTTATGGTACATGTAACATGTTTACTACAGCAGTGTCCATAAGTTATTTACATTGTGTAGTGTATTATGGTTTATGATACATGTAACTGCCCATAATAATTTTATAAGATGTACTGTATCAGTGTTTCTGGTACACTGTTAAGTTTTAATCAAGTAGTTTAATACAATAATAATATAAACATATGTGTGTTCAAGTTCAGTATTTATCTAATGTTTTTAATGAGTATTCAAGTTCAGAAAATTATTGAAGTTTTATTTTTTAAAAAACACAAGCTCATAGGAAACTAAAATTAGCCCCCCCCAGTGGCACAACGTTATGTCTGCAGACTTACAACACTACAAACTGGGTTTTGATACCCATGGTGGGCAGAGCACAGATAACCCTTTGTGTAGCTTTATGCTTAACTGCAAACAAATCAACAAATGCTAAAATTGGTAAAAATCAAACTTTTTAACTTTGTCTCGGGTTTATTTTTTGTTAAGAATTCATCCTCATATTATTTAAAGTTAGTTGTAGAAATATATTGTTTTGAGACATTTTTTTATTTGTTGAAGTTTGTGTGAACATGTATTTTTACATCTGTAAATGATAAATTGCAGGGTAATCTAACTGAAATAAGAGGGACTTTAGAAGGTGTGCTCTCTAATTAACCATCAGTGAATAAAGAACCATATTTACAAAGTGTTCAGTCTACAAGGTCTTATCATATTATGTGAATCAATTCACTGTTAAAAAGACTTCATAATTACAATCTGCAATTGAAAATTTATACTTCTTAACCCAGCATTTCCAAAAATTTTAATTTTTGAAGTATATATATATATTTTCACTTATTCATGGAAACAAGCTTTTTTGTACAGCATAAAAATAAAAGTTTTATTATTTTCTTAAAATACATTTGAGAAATTTTGTGCATGTTGTTATTATTTTTGTGTGTAATTTCTACCACAGTAGAAAATATACCAATGTATTTTGCAGGCAGCACTTCGTAAACTTTATTCATTTGTATCGAGCCACATCCTAGAGACCAAAGTATCAGGAAGGTTTGCAGCGAACATGTGTCGATCTGCTGCAAGGGTTTGTAATTTTTTTCAGTTGTTATAGATAATTTATTCTACTTAATAAGAATTACTTTTAATTTTTTTAAATAGAAAATCAAAATTATTAAAAATAACTTTTCAGATTAGCAAAGTCTTGAACTTAGAAAGGTAATTAATTTTGAAACAGTATACAAAGTGGATGACACATGTAAAAAGACATAAATTAAATACAGAGAAATAGCTTTTGTGCAAACATTTCAAAATCCAAAAATTTTATAATTATCTGGATAACTGGGTCAAGTAATGTTTATATTCCCTGCTTAATTTAACTTTTGTTATAGAGATGTGCCAGGAATAATTTTTGAATAATGTTTTAAATAATTTGTACAAATCAAAAATCTATTACATTTAAGTCAATTTATATGTTAATAAACAGTGTTAACTTCCTGTCAGAGTAAGCTATATACTTAGATCAAAACTAAAAATCAACCTAGACATCAGTATAGATAATTAAATATACTCTTCTTATATTTCTACTTATAAAGATTAGAATGCATCATTTAATTAGTTTAATTAATTAATTTAAAGTTGTAGTGTCCATTTTACTGTTAACTTTAAAGTTGATTGTGTGATTAATGATGTTGCTATCTAATTAAGTTTTTCATTTACAGAATAAAAATATTGGAGTTTGTTTTTGTTGGAAGAAAAATAAATGTGTGTTGTACTGAACAACTATCATGAACAGATGATGGTGGTTTTGTTGGAGAATAAAATAATCATTAATTAAAATATAGTTTTAGTCGATCTTTTAGATGTGTCAAATAACCATAGTAAGTGAAATTTTAGAATTATTTTCAAAGAATAAAAGAATTTATATAAATAAAACTATCTACATTCTGAACAATTTTAGCCCCAAAAATGTATGGTCATGGAATTAATGACATTTTATATATTTTATCTGATATAAAAAAATGAGATACATTTATGCAGTTTAATATTTTATCATTTGAATATAGAACTCTTAAACATTCACATTAAAACTTTCTCATCTTATATGTCCCTGTTCTTGACTTGTTTTTTCTTTGTTAGGTAAATCCTGAGGCTACTCTTCGATTATTTTTACCACACTTTTGTAAACTTGTCATAACTTTAACAGAAAGTGAAGATGTTGCAAAGGAGGAGATTTTAGATGAGGAACTTTTGTTCAGTCTTCTTTTGTTGTCAGAGGTTTGTCCCATTCATAATACTATGATTACATATTTTTTAATATATTTAATTTTAGCATAATGTGACATACATCTTATAGTTGTAGTTTTTGCTTTTTTAACTACCTTATACTTGAATAATAAAATATTATATTATAAATATCTTCAAAATAAACATGTTGCCTAATGTGAATGGGCAATTAATAGGTGATATACACCTTTACTTATTGTTGTTTTTCAGAATTTGTAGTGCATGCTGGAAGGATTTAGACAATTTAGCAATAAAGTTAGACCCGCCCTGATAAAGCTGCAAGGGCAAAACAGTTGCTAAAATAAAGTTTTTTTTTATTATTATCCAGAGTTCAAGGTCATTTTTTTCTCGAACTTTATTACCAAAACTTTTACTACTATTTATTATGCTGTAATGAATAAAAAAACCTGTAACCTGAGCATTTTCGAAAGGTGGGTCTTTCTTCTTCAGGGGCAAACTGGGATTTTGGCCCTGAAGAAAAAAGGTCCACCTTTTGAAAGTGCTCGGGTTATAGGGTTTTTATTAATTTCTTGAATCTATGTGTTTTTCTAACATCATGAATATTGTGCTGTAACATGTTCTTTGGGTGGTGACGTAGCATTAGGAATTAATAGCAAGCTCTAAACATAACAGTTGAATTATATACAGAACTATATTAATGTAAATGATATACATGTGGTTAAGTATGTAAATCCTAGAATCAATTTACATTTAGTCTTGGCTAATTTACTCTACATGTTTATTATTAAGTAAACTTAATGTTCAACAGTGAGATGTAACTTATGCCTGCAAACCTTTAAGGTTAACTATATATTTTTTCTAATTAGTATATACTTATTAAAAAATTGGTTACAAATGTTAATGGGAAAAAAGTTTTATAAATATGAAAGTTACGCTACAGCATTAGTCAGATACTCTCCCTGTAATAGTGTATAAAGCTTTAAGGAACATAGGATCTAGTTTTGGATAGAAGTTTGTTTTGATAAACATTTTAGAGAATATATTATTTTATTTTTTTGCTGTATTTTACTAGTAACAATTGAACATCTTGTTCTGTGTCTTAACTATTTCATGTATTTCACCTGTGACCAGTTGTATTATCTAAATCAAATGGCTAGATACTACTTTTAATTATTCTGTAATTTTGCTTGAACTCAAACAAATACAGGAAATTAATCGTAGTAGTCCGAAAAATCCTCTTTAAGCAATTGTGAACAATTTTCTTTTCTGTACATACTAAACATCATACCCAGATAAATGTCCCTGTGTAACAAAATATCTATTTAACTTCTTATACTGAGCAAGATGTCTCATTCATGTTATTGTTCAACAGTGGAAAGTATTGCTCAATAGGTCCCCGGGTGGGACAGCAGTAAGTCTGTGGCATTACAACACTAAGATTTGGGGTTTGATTCTTTGAAGTGGACACAGCAGATAATCCAACGTGGCTTTTTCTGTACATAACACAAACAAATTACTCAACCATACTGTGGATGGTTTTTATATAACTGTATGGTGTTTATTCCAAAACCTTTCTGCTGCAAAATAATGAGAGTTATTTAAAATTAGACATTGCATCCTGGTATTTTATCTAAGGAAACATAAGGTTTTTATTCAAGTAAACTTTTGTATGCCTATTATTTTATATCATGGGATCATCCCAGTTGTTCATCTAAAAACTTGTAGCTGAAAGGGAAAGTCTAGTCATAATGTGACATCTTCATAAAGCTAGCTTTTTAAACTGATTATGAATTTGAGACACTGCTGTGATCATCATTTTTTGTGACTTATTCTGATGTGATGTTACCATAATGACAAATTTTATTTATTGTTCTTTATATAGACCCCTTATATCCAGTAATTCTGATTTTTTTTTAAATGAGTATAAGTACATAGTAATGCCAAATCTGTATAAATTGAGTGGTAAGAAAGATTCAGGTATATAAGTGATGAAAACCAAAATCTAAATATAATATATTTCATGTTGCAATATTTTTATTTGACATATAAATAATTATTTGGAGGAATGATGTACCAAATCCTTAAAGATGACATATTTTTCTGTTATCTTTGTTACCAGACCAGTTAATACTCACCTTCTTTTTAGCTTAGATTCCTCCAAGAAAATGTTTATAATTTTTTTGTATGTGATTGTTATTTGGTGCAGATTATAATTTTAATAGCATTGTTTATAAAAAAAAATATCAGTATGTTATAAAGATTCAGTTTTCCATGCTTCTTATATTCATAATTTTATGTATGATTTTCTTATACAGGTTGTCAGATGCAATGGAGTTTATTTGCTACAGTACAGAAACTATATTGAAAGCGTTCTCCATCGTACACTTCACCTTACCAATAAACAGGGATACCTTCTTACAGGATCATTGCTGCGATACACCTTGAAAGCTTTAACAACAGTCTATCCCCTAGACTTCCGCAGTACAAAAATGCCAGTGGAGGATTGTTGTTCACTTGAGCAGCACTTGCCTATAAAGGTAAGGTGATAGTATTTTCTAAGACTCAAAATAAATGTATAAAGTCACATGCATAAATAAACAGTAGTATAGTTTTCGTTTTGTCACTTGTACTTGTTTAGCATGTAAAATTGAAATGAAAGATATTAGGATAGCATAAGTATTACTGTACGTATGATAATATTCATGTTAACTATTTCTCAGCATAACATTTAACTTTAATCTTATGCTGAATAACTTTGTTTTATAGACTGTTAAATGTGTCTAATAGTAACTAAGTAAGTTTGATAGTAGTGTATTTAATAGTTGTTGAAAGCTGAGTGTGGACTAGCGATTGATGTGACTAGACTGTGAACCTGAGGTCTTATGTAATATCTGTATAAAAAAAAAGGTGTTTACACCATCCTTAAATAAGAACACTTTAGTCTAGTACCTCCATATTTCCCAGTTATTTCAATTGGATTTTTTGATATTTAATGATACTGCTGAATCTGATTATCAGGTCATTCTGTCATGGCTTATTACCAACCCCTATTGTGATCTTCACTTGTGTCTCTTGAAGAAGTTGTAAGCTGGAAGTACCAAATTCTCGTTCACAAATAGCTTTTTTGGTATCCTATTGTTCTCATTTTTACTGTTGGCTCAGTTTAAAACAAAATTGGGTGACTCTGTGGGCTCTGTAGTTCCTGACAGGATCCACTTTATAGATTATGGTTTAGAACTTGTGAATTATTATTAAAGTGTAAGGTAGTTAAAAAAGGAAAAACTACAACAATAAGATGTAGTGTCACATTAAACTACAAATAAAAATATTAAAAAATATCTAATTAATCTAATATCAGTGGTATAAACATCTGAAAGCCTAGCACCAACTTCACTTTCTATTCAAGTTATGACAAGTTTACAATACCAATTGCTGGCACCATTTTAGGCATATTTAAACTTGTGATGTACCTTTAACAATGGACTGTGTCATAGGCAATGATGAAGCTGTCCAGACTGACCATATTTTTAGTTTGTATGGGCAATTGATCTTTTTAATGTTTTTTATCCCTTATTCACATATAAAAAAATGTCTTCTGTGTGTTATAGTTATATTTTATACACATGATTTTTTAGAATTGCTATTGTGTTAGAAAACACATCATAACATAACAGTATTTTGACATGGATAGCCCAAGAGGCTTTATGCCATTAAATCCCAAAACAACAACAACGTGGTAGTGGACTACTTCAGTGAGGTATTATCTTGTGTTAGATTCAAAGGTATTTCAGAATGTGTAATTTTTAATGTAAGAGTTACTGTGATTAGTGGCTGGTGAATAAGGAGGTTGATTAAATTTTGTTACTTTACATTGTAAGAAAACTTCACAATGAACATAGACTTTTACATGAGATTGTTCTTTCCTAACACATAGTTTTAAGTTCAAGAATACCAACAGTTATGACTGAATGAATAAATTTTTTTTATGCAGAAAATGTATTAACTTGTGGTCTATGACTGGTAATAAAATATATTTTTTATTATTTTTATAATAGACATTAAATCAGTTTGGTAAATGAAGTTAACTAGTGATAAGGTGAAGTCACTCAGTGTGATTCTAAAGTTTTTAATTTTATGTTTTAAAAATTCATTTATTAGCTTCTATATCTACTTTTATTAGGATTGGGGAAAGCCAGGAGATATAAAAGACCTGGGTGTTCAGTGGCATTTGCCTTCAGATGAAGAGATAAGTTTAGCTCAAGACTTATTAGAATCTTTCTTGAAACCTGAACTGGAAGAACTGACAAAATGGAAAAAACAAGAACTATCTTTAACCAGGTTAGATGTGTATTTTGATTTTTAGAGAAGTCTAGTATAAGAACATTTGAATGGTTAAACAATTCCATTATCAGGTTATGACTGTTTTCTCAATTTTGGCAGTAATTGTATTCATTAAATTAAACAAACAAAAAAACACACCTCAAAACCAGTTCTTATCATTCAGATATCTGTTAAGCTTTCCCCTAAACTCACTTAACACTTAAATTAACTGCATCCACCACATCTGAAGGCAACACATTCCAGTTTCAGAGGTCAACCACCCCGTTAGAAAAAAAAGCTGTCTTAGCTGAAGATGACTTCTTCCCTACCAAATTTTACCATTCTCACCAATCTTAAATACCTCAATGAGGTCCCCTCTAACTCTTCTTTTTTGAAGAAAAAAAAATCAAGTTCAGAGATTTTAACCTATTGTCATGTGATAACATTTCCATCCCAGGCATCATGCTAGGAGCTCTCCTCTTTTCAACAAATCAATGTTTCAACACTGTTAAGGTTATTCCCATTAAAATTATAGTCATAGTTCAAATTGTGATATCCCACAAAAAAAAATAAAGTTTCAAAGTTTGTTGGATAGTTAACATGGTTTCACTAGGAGAAAATCTTGACTGAAGCATCATAATATTAAGTTATACTGTTAGCTTGTAGTCCAAATTTATAGATGCATTAGCCACACAAAGACTCACAGTAATTCAGTTATTTAAACGAGGGTGTGATCATGTGAACCAGTAAATTATAGTAGTTTTTTTCTGGAAGATGCTCATTTGTTATAAATTCTGTAAATTATGTAAAATAACAATACATTGATAGCAAAAAGGTTCAATTACAATGTGACAAAAATAAAATCACAAAATAAAAAGAAGTATTTAAGATTATGGTTCAAGAAATTCATTAAAAAAGGTGACCTTTTCCTGACCAGATGTTTTGGCCATTCTGCATGTTTTAAAATAAAGGTATAGATGTACATTCTGTATTGGTTCATTATCAAGAATCTTATCCTCTTTTCTGTACTTTTATCAAGATTTGATATTTTAAAAATATGTTTATCTTTTTTTTTGTGTGTATCCTGTGGAAGATAACTAAATACCAAGACAGTGTTTACGCTTAATTATTCTTTTAACAAAACAGTTAAAATTGGATGTCTTGATCTTATAAGTGACTTGTATTGTAAATGTATTATTGTAGAGTACCTTACCACAATCTGCAGTTATGAAGTAATTTGTAGGCAACACAGTGGTAGCCCAAAAGTTGGAGGTGGGTGATGATGACTAGTTGCCTTCCCTGTAGTCTTTCACTGCTAAATTAGTCAGTGCTTTTAATATTACAAAGCAAGATATGAGAGAGGTCAACAGTATTGCTACAAGCTCACTCTACACTTCGTTTATATAGTTTCACAATGTATCGTTCATTCTGTTCCACTTTCTTTATTTTCTTTACTAATCCGCCATCATTTTCAGCAAGTAACCTGCTTATATACCTGTAAGTAATTTAGACAACCAGAGTGGAATGATACATGTGACTCTCAAGTCACATTTCTTGCAGCTAATAAACAAGTAAATCTGGGAAAATTACTGGCAGTGACACCTAATATCACAATACTATCTTTATAAAATGTTTGTATATCAATGTCATTGCAAATTTGTTTAGATATCAATTGAGAAATGAATAATTATAGAAATGTGCAAAGATGCACGTTTTAGTTTACTCTTCACCCAATGACAACATGCGAATTGAATTAACATAATGAAACATAAATAACAGCCAGTTGTGAAGGAACAAGAAAAATTACTAAAGCTGTAGTTAGGTCAAAAATAATTTCAAACCCAATACTCTAACTATTAATGTATATCCAAATGTCTTGTGGCATAACAACTGGAAAGATAAGCATAAACTATATATCATCTGTACAAAACTTAACAAGATTTTTTGAGTTAAACAGTTTAGTTACCTTTATTCAGTGAGTAGAGTGTGTACTATTACTTATATTTTATTTCAATAACTTATATATATACCAATGCAGTGGCATGTTGTCACAGATGTAAGCTGTGGTATCATTTGTGTAACATGTGTATATTCAGCTCACAATGAATTCCTAACCATTTGACAGTGCACTGTAGTTGCAGAGATGTTTATGGATGGAGGATTGAAAAGCCTTTCTGAAGAGAAATATTTACACAGTGAGATGGTTAAGTGATACATAGCTAAAGAACACAACATTTTTAACTAAGAAGGGAACCTTCTGTGTTCTTCTTGGAAACAAAAAAAAAGGCTTGTTTAAGACAATAATGGGCTTCACAACCAAACTGAAAAACAATGTCAAATAACACTCCTCTCCTAAACGAAGACAATAGTTATAACAGAAAATTCTTCAACCTATGAAGTAACTGAGATTTGTGTATTTTTCTTCTGGTAGCATTAAGAAAACAATAAAAAAAATATGTTCAGAAGCTTCTGGTATCACTTTGAAATCAACAGCTGTTTTCATGAGAAAGATGACCTCATAAACTGAAATCATACCAGTTCTACTAGACCAGCTACCTGTCAGTCCTCGGTTGCATTCTTAATGGACTTTTGAGCCTTACATTTGATTTTGGAAGTCAATATCCAGATTTAGTAGATCCTCTGTAAAAGTTCTGTTTAGTTGTGTTGTCTGATTCTAAGTACTTATGAGTGAAAGAAAGTAATGAAGAATGTGTAACAACATTCAAACCACACTATACCTGCTGTACCTAGTGGCCTTGCCATCCTTCACAGAATCTTGTTACAGTAGAAATTCCAGTCTTGAATTATAGTGTGTAATCATAACAATCATATTGAGTATTACTCATGATAGGAACATCATTCTTCTGAGGTAAAGTTAATTAGTTAATTTCAGCACAAGATTTTATATCAAAATAAAAACATCCTTGCTTTTCTTTTGGAGAAGCAAGAAACTTCAAATGAAGTATTTTAATATGTTCTTTCATACCATGTTTCATACCATATGTTAAAGCCCTTCAAAATTTTAAAATAGGCTTGGTAAATATTACACTTAAGATACAAATGGAAATTGTTAAAATTCTTAGAAGAATTACATGTAATATACTAAATTTGAATTGTATTTTTTAGATAAAAAATTTTGAAAAAAAAAAAAGCATTTCGTATTGAATTTCAGATAGTATAAATTCAAGTATTGTTGAATTTAAGGACTTCTTAGCTGTCATTCATTACAAAATTTTGGGCATAACAATATGTAAATAAAAAATCAAAGTTTTTCCAGTCCCACACAAAATCTTTTTTTTTTTCATGTTGTGTTGTTATCCTTTCCTGAACATCCACATTTTCCCGTTTACACTTATGTTCTCCCATTTTACAAAAGTTACTATTAAATCATGAAGAAAGTGTCATTGTGTATGTGGGAACATAACTTGCAAGTACTTGATTAAGTACGTTTTACTGTTGAAAAAATGAATATACTTAATATTTTTATTAACCCCTTATCCAACAAACCTGGAAAATTGCCATGATGGTGTAACTAGCTCCTGGTTAATGGGTTAAATATCATCTTCTTTTAACATGCAGCTGTCTACATCACACATTTGTAATTTAAACAGTGTTTATATCAATAATATTTGAGACATTGAGTTGTTAGGTGTATAACATTAAAATTGATAAAGTATAATTGTTTGGAGTATTATATGTATAAGAGTCAATGTATTAAAGTAACTTAGATATTTTTAATATTTTATCTCTCCTTGTTTAAGTATATGATTTGCCAGCTTCAGTGGTACATGTACATGCCATAGACAGCTAGTGATCATAATAAAACTTTTTTTGTTACAAAAATATTCCAGTTATATAGAAATCATTGCATAGTCAAATGAAATTCAAGTTGAGAGGCCATTAACAAATGTAATTATAAACTAACCATGTTTGTTATCCTATTGGGTGTATTCTCCCCTATAGATTGTATTGAAGTAAAACTCTTTTTTTTTTTTGTCTCAGTTGAAGAATGATAGTTCATTTATAGTTGGGTATTGATTAAAATCTTTATTTACAGGGAAGAACTTCAAAGATCATTGAATATTGTTCATGAATGTGTCATTGGTGCAGGAGCTGCTCTTCCTGTATGGAAAATAGAAGCTATTCAACTGTAAGTATCACAGTTTGGTTCATGGTGAAAGTGATGTTATCTATCTAGAATGCTGGAAAATATAATCTGTTCACCTGTAATATAGCAATTTGGTTCATGGTGAAAGTGATGTTATCTATCTAGAATGCTGATAAATAGAAGCTGTTCATCTGTAACTTAGCTGTTTGATTAGTAGAAATGCATTATTTTGTATATAGAGTAATGGGAAGTAAAAACGTTTCAACTATAAGTGTAACAATATGATTGGTAGAAGTGTATTATTATTATTTATCTAGAATGAGCTTTCATTATATTGTTTAACATAGAAATAATTGTAGTATTGTAAAACAGGTTAACATGAAAAATTAATATACTGTGATACCTTTAAAAAAAAGAAATAAAAGATTAAGTGCCAAACAAATACTTAATTTGCTATAATGAATGACCTGTGACACTTAAAATAAATTGAATAATTATGGTAGTAATTTTCAGTATTCTTTGTAGTCTAATATATGTTTAATGTATCAAATTATGTCTAAGCATGTAATTGTATAGGTTGAAATGTTTGATTGTTTAAATACATTTATATATAAATGATTAAACAATAAATTTTCTAAGATAAAGACATCTTAAGGAGTAATTTCCTTAACATAAAATGCTTGAACACGTTGTTGAGAATTTTTGTATAATGCCAAATGCTAATTGTCTTTTATCATTAGGTCTGATAGTTTTGTTCCAATCCATTGTTCTCGAGTAAAAGAAGTTGGGCATAAAGGTAAGTGATGGTTATGTCTTTTTTTTTTACCTTTTTAGAAATAATTTGTAAATACAGGGTGGCCCACAAAAATGTTCCCATATTTTGATTGCTCATATGAGCATAGTAAATGAACCTGCAAACCAGCAAAATATCTTTGTTAATATTTCATACAACAAATTAACTGAACATACACAGCTTCATCATTTGAGATGCACAAACTGGGCTCCACTAGCATTCCAAGAAACATAACATCTACAACAGAGTGCCTAACATGCTGTTACACAATTTTCAACCCTAACTCAATGGAAAGCATTTGAGATTTGTTGCTTTCAATCGTCAATGGTTTTGTGTTTATTGTTAGACATCCTCCAGTAGTATCTGAAATAAAAATAAAACTTTTAGAATTTATTATATACAGAAGTTGCATAGCTTAAAGGATGGGTATATTGTTTGGGGCCACCCTGTACTTTGTACACAAACCAAAAAGAAAAAAGAAATAATAACATAAAACTTAAACTTGAAATGATAAAAAAAATTAAAGCAGGTTGAAACAACTTTAATACAATAATGCAGAATAGTAGTTTCTCCAGTACAGAGATTAAAACAAAAACCACAAGGTAACAAAAAAGAAATAGTGTTGTATTCAATACAATTAAAACAGACTCTAAAATAAAATATGAATTGGCCAGTTTTTGGAGAACAAAGCAAGGATAATAGAACAAATGGAGTATAGCAATTGCTCGTAGTAGTGTAACAGATATCTGCTGTTCCCAAGGGCAGAGAAAGTTTAAGTTTGTGTACTGACGCTCAGTATATGTGTTTAGTTACCTAGATAAAAAAACAAAAAAAAAGTGTATTTAGAATTTCAATTCACCTCATTCATGAAACATACTAGAATAAATTAAGATGCTTTTATAGTTAATATAGTTACTTAACACTAAAATTACTGATGATGGTCCATATCCATATTGGCTATTTAAGCACCTTGTGTAAACTATTTATACACCAAATTGCTTGTGGGTCTAAGACTTTTTTTGGTTTCAAAGCCCCTAATAATATAACAGTTAAACATAAAAATTCCACCAATATTGTATTTAATTTAAGTAATTACTGCTTGAGACCTGTATGCATTTCACATGGGATATGAGTGATTCAACCCACATTTTTGTGTCAGTTCTTTCCTTTTAATGTTTTAAATTTCTGCAAGCATAAAACCATTTAGTATGGTATAATATATTGACACCTCCAAACTGTTAGCAAACAGTATAAAAACAAGTTAGTAATTTGAGAGGTAAAGATTGTTTCATAACTACATAATGTTTGATCAGTGCATTTAGCTTGAATTTTAGGCTGAACTTAAAAAAGTGTTGAAGCTCACATTAAGGATCACGTCACAACATACATCTTGAATAATGATGTATATTTTTATCTTCTTGACACATGCCCTTTACCATTACTGATACTGACTGCAAATCCTGCTTTGCTTTTCATGTTATATCCTGGTATGATGTAGTCACTTTGAGTTTAATATCTCTTTCCCATTCCCCTCCCCCACCTATGCTACAACTTTTAAACTTTGCTTCATCAAAGAAAAAAAAAAGTAAGTTTCAGTAAAAGGTAAGACTTTTCTTGTTAAGTTACTTTTAAGCTTTTATTTTTTTTTCAATGTATATATTTCACTGTGGGGATACTCCTACTTATTTTGCCATTATGTGTATATTTTGTTTTACCTTTGTTAAATCAGAACTGTATTTTGTGCCTGACTTGTTTCACTTACTGGTAAGTATATTTTGATATCATGTTTCTTATTGTCACATATATGTATGTGTGTGTGTGTTTGTGTTGCTTGTGTTTTGAGAATATTTAGTATATACTAAATATCATTAAATTATTAGGTTTCCATTATGTAGTATGATTTAAAAATAAATATTAACCACTTACACTTTTAGCTGTAACATAGTGACTCATAGACTGGCTCTGAGTTTTATTGTTGTTTTCTTTTCTTTTTTTTTTCAAGTACAAACTTTTAGCTCATAGTTCCATCATCTCTTGACTGATTTGAGATATAATTATTAATTTTGGACTCAGGATGTCAAACACTTTCAAATGATTTCTTTGACCACACCCTAGGTCTTGTAGATTAATTTGAGGGTAGGCTGGTAGAGATCCTGATGAGTAATAAAAGCGAATTGGGTATATGCTAACCCCATGCTTGATATTGCTAGCGCACAAATATTTAGCTAATAACAGGTTAAAAACAGTCTCATAGATTAATTTACTCTAATCCTGCCTAAAAGAATTTCAAGTGATGTGCCTATTGAAGATTCTCTCTCTTGTTGTTAATAGATTTCAATGTCTTTTTTCATTTCTACCTGCCATAAAACATCCATGGCTTCATAAGGAAGACAGTTGTACTGTTGAGAATTAAGTCAATACTGTTAGTATAATATATTAATTTTTTTACAATTTAATTTTATAATTTATATACTGACCTGACATAATGCAGTTTTGACCATGAGCAATTACTAAATAGTAGCATGTTATAATTGGTAGAATATTTGTAAAGTAAAAAGAAGAAAGAACTACATTCTTACATGTTAGGTACTGCTTGAAACCACTGTTAAACTTATCTGGAGGAAAAGAACAGGTTAAAAATACGCGTGTTGGTTTCGACTTAGTTTTTCTTTGATCCAAACTGCAACAATTAAATCTTGTTCTAATAGAACAATTTCTATAGGTAGAATATAAAGAATTCCTGGCGGAAAAAATTAAAAACATGATATTAAACATGTGGATGGGGTGTAAAGGTTGGTTATAAAATATGTAACAAAGTTCCCATATAGATACCACATCTGTCAGAAATAACTGCATTTTGATTTAATTCAAATTACTTAAGCATAAGATATTGAGGTATAGAAACATCATAAAGACTTTGTGCACAAAACAGTCTTAGCAAAGCTTTACCCATTTCTTTGTGTTTTAAACATCCAGATTCTATTTTTTATCTTCTCAATCTCTACCAAAACCATTGCCTTGTTAGGTAAACTGTTTTTTTACTGAATCTGTTCATATAAATATGGAACTTGTGATTATCTATCACATATATATATTTTATTTCATCACATATAGCAATTGATTTCAAGGATGGAAGAAACATCAGACAGACAGTAGTCAGTTCGTTAAAGGAGGTTTTAGGTAGGTATCTGAAAGTATACAGGAGTTTTGTTAAAATGTATATAATTTCTCTGGGCTACTTAACCTGAAAAGTCCAGGAAATGGGATGTAGAAAATTTGTTGAATATAAGGAATTATCCTAAACATTTATATTTCATCATATGTATTGATATAAAACTGTGTTTACACATACAGAAAAATTTTAATAATGTGATTTATTTTTATCCCTATAAATTACATTATTCATAATAATTTAACCACATCTGGACCAAGAAGGATTTGTCTGATATCCCTTGACTTTTCTTTTGCTTCTCACAGTAATAATACTTTAAATTACATAAAACTTAATACAAATTTATTATCCAGATTTGGCTTTAAAACTTTTTGCATAGTTTGCTATAGTATTTGGATCAGTTTTTTGTTTGTGAAATTTGATACATTATTTAACTGATTGCAGTATCACTACTTTCAAATATAAATTATAAAAAAAAACTAAAATATTTATCAGTGACCTAAGACCTTATCTTTCAAAATGGCTTCACTATTAACTTTTTCAGACTAGGTATCATGATTTTTTCCAACAATGTTCAATTTATATCTAATAAATTTAGTTTCTTTGAAATAAATAAGAAGTTTTTTATTTGGTTGAATTTGAGTCATTGGGTTATTTTGCTGCTGCCTATTGTACGTAGTAAACCTAACTAGACTTTCTTGCAGATATAATTTAACATATAAAATTTTCAGAATTGAAAAGAAAACTATAAACAAATTCCTAGATCTGTAGTTTGTTTCTGAGTCTTCTAAATGTGCTGTTAAATTCCTTAGTTCACTGCTACAGGGGCCCCCCCAGTAGCACAGCGGTATGTCTGCGGACTTACAACGCTAGAATCCGGGTTTCGATACCTGTGGTGGGCAGAGCACAGATAGCCCATTGTGTAGCTTTGTGCTTAATTTCAAACAAACAAACAAACACTGCTACAGGAACTCTGACTAATCACTTTCTCAAGAAACCATAAATTACTTTTCTATCTTCCTTATTTACTCTACATTTTCATAAATAGTTTATAATCTGCTCTATTGTATTGTATTTAGATGCTGCCTTTAGCTATTTTCAAAGCTAAACTTCATTACAAAGTGCTCAGACCATATGCTGTAGTATCATAAAAGGGGTAAAACAAAATACTATAGTGATAAAACCACTAACAGAGATGGAAAATTATGTACATAACAAGACATGGATAATTATATTTTAAAGTCAATAATGCAGAATAATTCTAAAAAAAATTATAGATGCATTGTTTACATGCAAGACTCCAGAAATGAAAGTTAGAACTTTTTTTTTTCACATGTTTGTTTATCTTGCTATACCATCATTGGTTCCCACCAGAATTTTGTTTAATTCAGAGGAATGCTGACTTGCTCTGATTTACTAACAGCTGTAGAACACCAACAAATACTCACAATGCTTAGCTTTGTTATACTGTCATCTTTGGACTGTGCAATAGCAACGTTGTCCCTTAGTCTTACAATGTTTGAGCTTATGAAGATAATTTATAATAACTAGCACAGCTCACTCTACTGTACCACCAGGAGAGAACCCCATCAAAACCATGTTTTTTTTTTATATTTCAGCTTTTATGTAATTTACAGTTTATTGGCTATTGTGAATATTTATTTTGTTGTTATGATAAATATATATACATATGGTCTTGGTCACTTTAATTAACCTTGTAACCACAATGTTACCATAAAACTATACATATTATAACCCTATATTTACTAAATATATCTTCACAAATTAGGCATATCATAAGTTTTTTCAGTAACACTTTATACTTTACCTCTTATTTTCTCTACTGTAACTGTAATAAAGTCGTGTGTAGAAAAAATTTTGAAGTATGGAATAAAATCAAAAATACATTTTTTTTCTTGAATGACTGGAGATTGTATCAGACAATTACAATTATTTATCCTAAACAGCTTTAGGCTCCTAACAGTTTCACATCTTTTTTTCATTTTATTAAGGATAAATTATTTAGTTTTTTTTTTTTTTATTCAGTCTTTCTTATTTAATGTAATAAGTTTCTAAAGTTTGTATTTTAGTTATTTTTGTAAATAAAAAATATACATAAAAACCAAGAAATATTGCACTTTAGCCTTAAGGCCTTATGTACTAGGTGCATGGTTTAGTGAGCCTATTTTTTCTTATTATGTTGGTTGTCCAAGTACAATTAAAATAAGCCTTGCCATAGACTAGAATGTTTCAAAACTACTATAACTTAATTGACTTTCTAACTAACCTATAAATGGGTTAAAAAATTTCATTACTTCTTGGAGAAATGACTTTAGTGTAAACACTTCATGTTCTCCTGGCAAACTATCAGATTTGAAGGCTTAAAAATATAATACAGTTATCTGACTTATGTAGTGTATAATTTGCTCTTTCTCTTAATTGTAAACATGACCATTCGCAATGTTGGAGAGAATTTTAGACATTTCTTAAAAGATGGAGGATATGATAGGAGCATGCTAATGTGGGTTGAACAAATGCAGTGATATCTCAGATAAGCAAGAAGATAAGAAGTTGAAATTTTATATCTTGTTTCTAATTGGTTGAACAATCTGAATCTCTTATAAGGGAAGAGAAAAAAAAATCTACAAATAAGAAGTCACAGCACCACTGGTTAATGTAACTCAAAGGCACAGCTTTAGAACTTATTTAAGTACTTCCTGTTGAAATTAAAAAACTAAAACTTTTAATATAAACTATGTTTTGTTGCTAAATTTATTAACATAAATTGATAATAAAGTAGTTTTAATTAAATTTTGAATGTAACTCTGTAAAAAGGTCATGATGTACACTTTGACCCAATAGTATCCATACAGTAAACAATACTAGTATTTAATAATAAATGTAATGTTTGAAATACTATGTCTTTCATTTCTGTTGTTACTTCAGTGGTTTTTAATTCATTAATGTGATAGACATCACTATGTCAACTGTATTCCTTCACAAACATTAAGGAGCAAGAGGGGGCCAGTGGTTATTATGCCAGACTGTAGATCCATAGTTCATATACCATTACCATAAAAAATAAAATAATAATATTCTGCACTTTGGTGCTGTGGATACATTATAAGAGCAAAACCCAGTATTCAATAAAAGTAGCTCACAAGTTGTCAGTGAGTGAGTTTGATTAACTACCTCCATTCTAGTCTGTCACTTCAAAATAAGGGGCAGATATGTCTCAGTTAGACTTGCATGAAATATAACAAACAACAACAACAACAGACATTAAAAAGTAAGTCAAAGATTACAAGGCTGTTGGATTTTACAGTGTTTTTTATATGGAAATTTAAACACTTATCTTAGAATGTTGAAAAAATTGTTTTTGTAAACAGAAAGGCTTATACTGTATCTATGTTCTATAAGTTTTGATATCTAACTTTAACCATTTTCTTGTATGATTTCCTATATCTTCCATTTTCTGTTTAGATTAAATAATGGAAATGTAATCACATTGTTAGTGCTTCTATTTTAAAAAAAAATTCAAATATTTATTAACCAGCTAAAAAAGAAAGATTATTGATTGTATGTAAAAACATTTATAATTTAGCTTTCTCTTTCACATTTTGTTGGATTTATGTTCTTTATGTTAATTAAACAGCCATTAATTTATCACAAGCCCCTTGGTCTTATATTTAGGTCATAACTATTTGAATATATACATATTAAAATATATATATATCTGTTTTATAGATCACATCATGAATACATGTGAAGATGACACCAAGTCTCTCTTTCTTATTATCAAGGTAATACTATTGTTTTGCAGTGAAGTTGAGCTTAACAAAAGCATTTTAAAATAATGTAGATTTGGCATCAGTAATAATATTTTTTGATTTTTTTATTACATTACTTTTATTAATAAAAAGAAAGAATTAAAAACTACTAATTCATTTAGTAACTTTACACAAGTAACTTACAGCACCACCTGGTAGTCAACATGTAGCAACATGTGAGTTCCTTTTTGAAAAAACATGTTTATAAATACGGAAGCTTTATTGTCCTTGACCACTTTTTTTTGCATTTTCAGAGTTTAAATATATTACATAACATTTCTATAATTGTTATTCAATCTTTGATTTTTCTTCTTTTTTTTTTATATAGATTTTTGTGTCTTTAATGATCTTCTGGGGTGTTGATAAAACAGAGTTTGATACCAGGTGGAAGAGCTTCCATGTTGTTAAAAAGGCATTAGAGAATAAGGTGAGTTATTCGATATTAACGTCTCATGAGATTAAATAAAATGATACATGTATACTTTGTTATTTGTATTTATTTGTTATTAAATAATGCATTACTGAAAGTGTTGAGATATGACACCCACAGCTATAAATGGGCTTATCCACACTGTATTTGCTTGTGAATCTCATGATACACTGCCATGTGTAGGATAGCTAGTTGGATTCAAGGTTCTAGTGGTAAAGTTCATACACAAATGTACTATGGGTAATGTGCTGAAAAAAAAGACAAATCACTTGACTTACTAATGAGGCATATCATGTTAGTCATCTGAAAGTCATTACTCCTTAGTTTGAAGTGTGACAATTTTTCAGAAATAATTGTAGGCCAGAACATATACTGCATAAAGGAAGCTCCAAGCTGATTACTGGCTAGTACATCCACTTTATGGAGGAAACTTCAAACTGATTACAGGCTAGTACATCCACTGTATGGAGGAAGCTCCAAACTGATTACAGGCTAGTACATCCACTGTATGGAGGAAGCTCCAAACTGATTACAGGCTAGA